GGGAACTGAGGCTCGGAGAGGTCCCGTAAGGCCACGGCAGCCCCAGACGCAGTGCTCAGACTGAGCCGGCCGGTCCGATGTAAGTCTTCGGGCCACGTATGGTACCCGCCCGAAACGGCCATCCTGAGCATTAAACCCCCAACAAGCAGCCTAGCGATCATTCACTGTACAACTCTCATGATTTTTGGTAACGTTTGCTTGGGAGGCCCCTCCAAGTGGCCAGCCCCTGGCTGGGGTGTGGTGGGACGCGGCAGTTGACAATCCCCAGCTGAGAGCCACGAGAGGGAGGTGTGGGTGACAGCCGGAGATGGTGGTACAGGCTCAGCCCCGCATACCGGCAAGGGAGCCGCGAGTCCGGGGCACGCACACTAGGGTCTCCAGGTGGGAGGGCACCGGGCCGCTGCTGAAATCCAGCAGCCATCTGTTGACCAAGCCGGGTGCTCTTGGCTGTGGGGCTGTATCCACCTGGAGGAAGAACCCCCTCTTCTTAACTGACCCAAGGAGGCCTCTGGGGCTAACAGTGAACCTGACTGTCCTTGAGGAAATGAGGGCCCCCCGCACCTTGCCTTGGTCTGCAGGCACTATTTGGGGTCCTGGCTGGTCAAGCTGTCTCCTGATGAGTGACTGCGAGGCAATGTGGGAAGTGTCTAAGAGCAAGGGCTTCTAGCGGATGGGCCTGGGGTGGGCTTGGCCTTTTACGTACTGAGTACCCTGAGCCAGGTACCAAAGCTGCTTGGAACTCATTTTCCTGGGCAGTAAAATGCCCAGATGATGGTTCTTCATCATGGCGTCATGAGGGTTAAAGGGGGCACCGTGCCTGGCATGTAGTAAGTGCTCAGGAAGGCTGGCCCATTAACTGATGATTACTGTATTTTCATACGAGGTGCCCTAGGGAGAGAAATCGGCTCACACAGGTTTGCAGGACCCTCACTGATGTGATGTAGTGGATTTTTCCCCAGGTACACTGAACAGGTGATGTCCCTTTGGCATCGCATCTCCTCATACGTATAAGGGCAGAGTGCCTTTGGTTTCTAGCTCCATCCTGGACTAGCTAGCATCCAGGCCTCAGGCACCCCCTGAGAGCGCCCGCTTCCCTCCCTCTCTTCTGCCATCCGTAGCTTCCTTCCTTCATCCCTCCCTCCCTCTGTCCCTCCCTCCCTCCCTTCCTCCCTCCCTCCTTCCTCTTTGGCTCCCTACCCATCAGGAGAAAGGGGGTGCCTACCGTGAAGGTCCCACTTGGAAGCAGTGGATGAACGATGCTCGGCTTTGAACAAGATGGTGACTGAGCCCTTTATACCCCAAGGGAAGACCCTTAGTCACGTGACCCCCTCCCCCGCCTCACACAGAGAGGACGGCCTTTTGTGCAGGTTGGCAGGTGGGAGGCCTCTGAGGGGAGGAGGACATCGTAATGCTATGACTTGGAGCAGGTGAGGCTCCATATTAAGAGGCCCATCTTGCGCCTCAGAGGAGACCCAGGCTCTAATCAGAGAACAATGGCTCCCTTGTTCCCCACCCCGCACCTCACCTCAAAGGCCTGGAGGCCCAGGGATTGTGTCTCGGGGTCATCAGGGGATCTCTGGGGGATGAAAGACTGATGAAAGGCACATGGGCTCTCCCACAAGAAGGGCTGGCTTTGTCTGGTCTAGTTAATTCTTCAGCAAGAGGATCTCTGGGGTGATTTTTCTTATATGTTCCTGGCCTCAGGCCTGGGAATTCGATGCCTCTTTCCTTTAGGGGTTTCCTGCGCCAGCTGTGGGGTGGGGTGAGACGGGGCTTGATAATCAGACACGCGAGGATCGGGTGCCAGCCCTGCCCACTCATTAGCAGTGGGACGCTGACCTGTCGCTGCTTGGGCTCTGCTCCCACGTGCATTATGTGGGGATGACCCCACTGGGGCTGTGTGAACAAGGTGAGCCAGGTGCGGTGTGTGGAGGGGCTGGGGATCCTAGATCCTCCAGAATTTCAGGTTTCCCTTCCAGATCTTAAGAAGGAGAGCGAAGGTCTACTGAGCACCATTAGGTGCCACGCGTGTTTTCACGGGATTGTGTCCCTCTCGTTGCACCCCCATAGCTGCTCTACTAATCCTACGCTCACAACCCTCAGCAGGATAGCCGGTGCCGGGGGCGGGGTGAGGGGCGTTTGGCCGTGCTCGCAGGGATGGGCTCATCCCTGGCTGACAGGTTCGCTGGCTGCGAGCGCTCTGAGTGCTTCACCTACCACCCACCTGCTGGAGCACAGGGGTTCATCCAACGATTAAATCTGGGGGAGTGAGCCTTTACAGAATCCACCAGAAGCCTTCTGCAAATAATTAGTTGCCCCTGTGTGTTGAAGCTTCTGTTTATAGATCATTAGTTTTTGCTCAGTGTCTCATGAGCACTGATGATGAGCGAAGCCACGCTGCCCCAGTCCTCACCCACCAGCACAGAAGACCCCTCATCTGTAAACTGTTAGGTCAACAGGCTGTATGGCTAGGGGCCAAAATTCCTGCCCTCCTCCCTCCCTAATTCCCTCGCTCCTTCCAGTTTAGCTTGTATTTTGGGCATGAATGGAACAGACAGGAATGCGCCTGTGCCTTTGCCTCTGGGGAGAATCCTGTTTGGTGATGTTACAGGCGTAAATGCAGAGTCTCCTCCATCAGCAGGCGCGCAGTAACTGCCCCATCTTTTATTACATTGTCAGTGAACCACTGATGGCCACATATGCACAAACCACCAGGAATTCTGGTGTGGCAGCACCCCCTGAGGCCTCCTCATTGCCCTAGGCACTCCCCAAGTCGGGACTTACTCAGCTCAGGAGGGGTCAAACCTCCTCTTGACCTCCAGCAGACCGTGAGCTCCAGGCTCTGCTCAGTTTGCTCTTGGGTCCTGCTTTCCTCCTACCGCTGCTGCTGGTGTGACAGATGGTGTGGCCCTAGAAAATTGGTCCTGTGTGGTCCTCTGAGGCTTTGTCTTTGCTGCAAGATCAGATCTCTGCATGGGCCTCCGAGGTCCTCCACACGTGACATTTTCAAAGTTAGCCATGCTCAGCCGTTACTGCCAAGGCTTTCGCCACAAGTGAACAGCCAGGGTATTGGGACCAAGTCATTTGTCCCACCTTCCCTGATGATAAATTACTCTTTGGGGAACCTCTGGGATCTTTTCCTGCCCAAGATCCTTCATTAATATCAACGTTATCCATTAGAGAAGGTCTAGTTAGATTAACCCACACCTGATGAATGGTGCTGTTTTCTTGATTCCTAGCCAGATATGGGTCGCTTTGTCTTAGTGGATTTACTGTGTCCTCCTCAGCTCGGCAAACTAGAGGGCCCTCTGCAAGCCCCAAGAGTCATGACAGCAGGTATTCATGAGCTTGACCTTTGCATAACTTTGAGGGTCTCTGGCGTGTTCTGGAGATTAAAAATATATCTGTGTGTGATCAGAGAGGGAAGTGTCTGGCTGCTTCTCTCTCCAAAGTTCAAGGTCTATCTTTCCAAGAGCGTTGTTGTTCACAGGGCATCAGAGCAAGAGCCCTCAAGGGTCTTCCAATGGGGGGAAATTGGTTTGACTTGGACTATAAATGGAAAGTGAGTTTTCTCACCAAGGGGCATAGATCACAAAGGTGGGAGATTGATGGCCAGGCAGCCTACTAATGCAAGAAAGCGGGGCCAGAGCTCCAGGCACAGCAGTGAGGGACTAGGGGGTCCACCGAGGGCCATGGAAAGAGCAGACTGGCTCAGGAATGCTCTGCAGGAAGAGCTGGCATTCACAGGGGTGTTGGGGCAGCCCCAGACTTGGACAAAGTTAAAAGGGACCTGAACCAATAAAGGGGACACCTTCGCTGATGGGTGCGCAGGAAAGGGTTGACTCAGCAGGTCTAGGGCACTTGAACCCTGCATCTGCCAAAGAAAAGTCTAGCCCTTGAACAGTTCCCGGGGGCTAACCTCTGAACCCTTGGAATCTCCTGCCTGACAAGAGCGTCTGTCCACCTGGGGCTTTGGGCCACGCCAGACTTAGAGTCTAAGCTAACAATGTGGTTATAGTGGGGGCCTTGGGACGCCATGTTGCCTTGACCTCTGGAGAGCCTGGAGACTGAGTAACTGAGATCAGCTATGTGGGCACTTCATGCCTACAGGCTGGTCCCCAATCGAAACCCTGGCCTCCACGGCTCAGATGAGCCTTCCTGGTTGACGATACTCCATATGTGTTGTCACGTGTCATTGCCCCTGCAGCTTCACTGTAGAGGACAGATGGAAGGTGGCGCCCTGCCCTCTGCCCCTTTTATCCTTGCTGACCTTAATCTCTGTCCTTTTGCTATAATAAGCAGTAAATGTGAGTATAACAGCTGTTCAGAGTTCCATGAATCTGATTAGCGAATCACCGAACCTGAGAATGCTCTTGGAGACCCCCAAATACAGTGGGACCCACAGAGAAGGAATCAAGACAAGACATCAACAACAAAAAACCCACAAACCTCTATGTTTCTTCTGAGGGAAGGTTCTCATCACCTCCTACTTAGGGGGCTTGGGAGATTATCTGGACCCTATAATCCGCAAGTCTGATTAGTTGTACATAACTGAGTGTGAGTTAATGGTATAGAGAAATCATATGTGAATCTCTCCACAGTATGGGTTCAATTTTCCTTATTTATCTTGCTGTCTTCCTAAAATCCCAAGTTTAAGTCACTTTGGGTACTGTGTCAGAGTCTCGGAGCCTGGACTAGTCTGTTCCTGCTGGTGCGACACCCCTCACCCCATCTCTCCAGTCTCAGGACCGCTGCAAAGCATCATGGGGGTTCCTTGAACACGGATTTAGGTCTCGGTGCAGCCTCCAACACCGGGTCTCCCACCTTCCCAGGAGTCACAGGAGAGAAAGAAATGTGACTTCCAAAAAGAACCTCTTTCGGTTGATTGATGATCTGGCTGGAGCCTGGTGACATCTGCAAGGACAGACCACTTGGGCCAGGGGCCGGGGTGAAGGGATGTTGACCAATGTATCCTTAGGTCCCATCGCTTTTTCAAGGCCTCACACCGACTGGCAGATATTCTGGAGGCATTTTTGTTTTAAGGCTGGAAGGAAAAAAGAAGAAGGAATTCAAGGTAGTGAGAAAGAAGGAAATGCTACAGGGACATAAACTCAGGCAGCATCAACGATGGACCAGGCTCCTCTGGAGGGCAAGGGTAGGGCAGGGCAGTGGATGGGGACTCAGGAGTCCAAGTCAGAGAGGAAGAACGATGTGTGCAAGAACCCCCCTGGTTAGCAGCCCAGTCTAGAGGAGAACAGCCTTCAGCTCTGTACCCAGTGATGGTTTCCCGATACCCATTTCCATCTACCTGATCACCCCAGTTTGCAGAAAGCTAAACTAACCTCATTACTGTGTTGTTCAGTAGATGTAATATGTTGTCTGCGTGGAGATTTTAATGTGCCAAGGACAAAAGAAGAGCTATGTAAGTATAAGTAGCTTGTAAAATTCCCTGCTCCCTCTGCCATACCAGGCAAAAGGATTACCGTCTTTGAATACTGAGCCCCCCATGCCTCCACCTCCAAATGCTTGGGCTTTGTGCTGCAGAATGGAAGTAATGTAAGTTCCATGTAGCTCCATGATTTTTAGAAAGTCAGAGTCCTTCGACTGGATAGTCCAGGTAGACAGCCAGAGCATTAGCTTGGGGACCAGCTAGGCCAGGTCGGCCACTTTTGTCTGCAGGAGTGGGAGAGAAAACAAAGTTCAAGTCTGGCCTCTCTGCTAGGAAATGGGGTTTTGATGCCATCAGGACCAGAAGAGCGTACCATATTCCCTACTTCTAGCTCCTCATGATGCTTTCTTTATCTTGCATTATTCGGGGGCACCTGGCTGGCTCAGTCGGTCGAGCATGTGACTTGGGTTGTGAGTTTGAGCCTCATGTTGGGTGTAGAGATGACTTAAAAATAAAATCTTAAAAAAAAAAAAAACCCAAGAGCAAGCTTTTTGTTGGATTATTGGTACTCATTTTGCTTTGGTTAGGAATTTAAGTGTTTCTATTTGTTTGATTTTTCTTTGTTCATTTGTATTTTTAGCTTATGTGGGAGTCAGGGTGGATAAGAAACTTGCCCAAGATCAAAAGGGCTTGGTCGGGCTGACTCCTGCGTTTCTTTTCTTTTTCTTTTTTCCTATACCTAACTGCAAACATCGAACTGTTAGGTGAAGAGTAATCAAAAATACCCTCCACTCTTTTTGTCTAGAATTAACGAGGACTACATGAGCTGCACCTACTCTTACTGGCCCCCAACGAAGGCAGGACAATCAGTGAGTTCTAGAACCCTGTCATAGAAGGCATTTATTGTCAAGTTACAACATGGTCTAGTGTATACTTACTGTGGGAGTGGGGCACCCTTTTCACCCTCTGACAGATGTATGTTGCATTCTTCAGAAACCAGGAATAGGATTCAAGACAGTACCTAAAGATTCCAATTAGAGTGGAAAGCAATCATCATGCCTTGTGGCTAATGGAAGACAACCATCATTGAAAAAGTCATCATGGCCAACTACTCGCAGCAAGGACCCCCTCTCCAACTTTACAGGGTGTGGGAGGAGAGGCAGAGGGTGAGGCTGCGCAGGGAGAGGCTTAGACTTTGGAGTGAGAAAGATATATTTTTAGTCCTGGCCTCATTCCTCACTAGGATGTGTGACTTCAGGCTGAGCGCTCACTTCTCTGGGCCTTAGATTTTTTCATAGGCGGTCGAAAGGCAATGCTAGAACCTACCCTCACAGGTTATCACCAGGACTAAGTGAGCTAACGTGCGCCAAGTTCCCGAACAGGACCAGGCTTGTAACAGGTGCTCCGCAAATGATGATGTCCGATTATTTGTTTTTCACGTGAGGTGGGCTAAGAACGCGGGGCTCTTACAGTTAATAAGGCAGAAAATACTTGCAAAGTAATATCCTGCTCTTGGCTGGGGCTGCGGGGATGGTTTCGAAGGGCTTTAGTGAGAGAGCACGGAGCACATTATTAGGAAGAAGAGCTTTCTGTGCAGACTGTACCACCCGCTCCCTGTGGGACTCTGGGAATTCACCGCCCTGTCCCCCCCCTCGCCGGATACATGAGGAGGTTGGGCTAAACATCTTCCCATTTCTCTCCCACCTTCACCACTCTGTGATTCTCGCACACCCCGGGGAGCAACTAACTGCTCGAGTAAAGCCGGCTGTAAAGATTCCCCAGGCTCCCCCGTCACCCTCCATTTCCAGGACGCTGTGACTTTAAGGAAACCAGGGCACAGAGATGGACTGATTTGCCTGAGGACTCACTGCTCTCAGGAGAGAGTGCGGCTATTTCCCCAGGCAATCCACTTCATGCCAGAACCCACTGCCATGCTAATAGCGCTATACCCATTTTGCAGAAGAAAAAACTGAGGCTCGGAGACGTTACATGACTAGCCTACAGAGCTTGTAAGTCCAGAGCCTAAATTTAAACCCAGTCGGCTTGGTTTCACCCTATCCCCCATACAGTACACTAAGCTACCTACTCGCTTTGAGAGCCCAGCTCTGTGACCTACTCCCTAATCTCCCCTCAGCTAGCCTGAAGGGCGCAAGCTTGGCAAGATGATCTAACAACCACAAACCAATTGCTTAGAAAGCTTCCAAAACAGAGAGGATATCAAAGGACCCTGGGGAATGGGTTCAATCTGTTCTGAATGAAGGAGGAAATGCACAGCCAAGAGGAGCTGCTGGAGCTCTGGGGGAAAAGTCCAAACCTGTTTGCAAGAGCTCGCCAGGTGCTAGAAGGAGGAAGGCCTTCCTGAAAAGGGACCTCTGCCTTTGCTGCAGCCACATTGCCTATCTCAGTGGATCTACGATGTTCCAGCTGCCTCTCACTGTCCATGTTTGCACTTGCTATTCCTTTTGCCTGGAGTGGCCTCTCCCATTTCCTGCCCAGGAAGCTTCTATTCCTCCGTAAAGCCCTCTTAGTTGCCGTGGGGCCCCACGGTGCATATTGGGATCTGCTACAACGCTCGTCATACTGTTTTGTAATTTCTCTTTACGTGGCCAGCTTCCCCACTCAAGAATGATTTTTTTTTTTTTTTTTTTGATCACAGGGGCTGTGCTATTCAACACACACACTGAGTAAAGCCAGTCTCCCACTCTGTTATTCTTAGCCTGTACTCAGTGTTTAGTATGAGATTATAGAAGAGTTCACTATTAAGTGAACATACAGGGAAAAGGAAGGGATAAGCTCAGGTTCCTAGATGCTTCATTTCTCTAAATTTTAACTTAAAACTCCTCTCTGGGAACTTCCACCTTCCCCATTTACCCTTCCACCTGGTATTTGCAATATAGAATTTTTAAATGTGATTTTTCTCCAAAGGGATGCTAGGAATAGGTCCTGCCTCTGGGTATGACTTGGTTCTGTCCCTTACTAGCCATATTTTAATTTGGGTTTATGACCATTTCTTCTTCCCAACTTTGAAATCCTCAGTTTCTGGGTCTATGCCTGATTCACCTCTCAATTCCCGTGGTTCAGCAAAGTGCATAACAAGTAGCTAGGAGAGACTCAACTCATTGTTGATTTGAAGAGCTGCTGGGGGAAGGTCTGATAGTGGGCTGATCCTGTAAGAAAGCAGGGTTGCAAAAGTTTTCTCTTCTTTAGGATGAGCTTGCGTGGTGGGGAAATTCATCCACATCTCTTGCTCACACTTTGGGTCTAGGGATCTTGCTCATTTACTTCTCTGGGTGGAGGAAACATTCACATTGATTGAGGGATACAAGATAAGGATGTAATGGAAAGAGGCTGCAAACCTGGACTGGGGGCTCAGAGACAGTGGATGATAGAGGTTTGAAAAGCTGAAGGGTTATGACAGGACGTGGAAAGGAACATTAAAAATCTGGGAGATTGGCCCCAGACCACTGGAGCAGAAGTGGTCATCCATGTTTGTTTGGTTCTGGGTTTTTAGCCAAGACTAACCCCAGAAGAAAGGGTAGAATGTCTGTGCTTGAGGGCAGAAAAATATCCATGCCTAGAACTTCTAATATGAAGCGGGGTCTGCCTTCTAAATTTCGTTTTACAATCTTCTCATTTGGCCAGCAGATGACTGCTAGGGATTTAGAAAAAGCTAGAATTTAGATGGACATGTCCTCTGATTATTCTCTTCTGGCAAATCTCACCAGGCTGAGGCTGAGAGGGCTCCAGGACCACCGGAAGTCCTGCGTGATCACTCCACAGGTATCACTCAGCTCGGCTCAGTTCACACCCTCTCAGCTCACCTCCACTCGACTCAGGCGCACTTGCTGTGTCAGGCCCTGCCCTGGGTTCCAGGGACCCAGAAATGAATGAGGTTCCATCCTGGCTCTCAAGGAGGTGATGGTCTAGTACAAGATCCACCAGAGAATCTATTCCTTGAGGCAGCCCCGAAATACTGACTGTGGGAAGGGACACCTGGTTCCGGTTACCTCATGGCCTCCGTCCTGGCCTCTCTCTTCCGGCTCATGCAGAGGCATTGCTGGAAAAAGCGGCACAGCTCCATCAGGCAAGGGTTGAGCTTCTGGATGGCCAGGGTGAGGGGAATGGTGGTGATGGCCCCCTCTTCGAGGAGCAGCTGAGGACACCCTGGAAGATGCAATCCCAGACCACTGACATCAACAAAGATTTAGCAAGCATCTTCCCTCTGTTAGGTACTGTGCTTGGTGAATAGAGTCTTGCCCCTGATCTCAGGTGGCTCTGAGACTGACAGGTAGACAGTGTTGCTTCATCAGTGCCCGCGAAAGCTGCTGTGAGAGTCTGAGAGACAAGTGGAGAAAGGTGGGGTCCAGTTCCCAGAGGAAATCAGAGATGGTTTCACAAAAGCAAATATTAAAAAAGGATCTAAAGCATTAAACAGAAGTGGATCAGGTGGAGGCATTACTAGGGGAAGAGGTAGAGTATGTGGGGACTCATCATCATGCAAGGGGATGGCTTGCTGATAGGGAAATGGAGAATAATTAGATGGTCCAGAGGGTGTGTGTGTGTGAGTGTGTGCACGCATGGATATATGCATTTTGCATGGGTATGCAGGCATATGTATGTACATGCGTGCAGACTGTGTACAAGTGGATGGGTGTGTGTTGCCTGACGATCACTGGGAGGATTAAAGGAGACAATGTACACAAAGCAAAAAGTTCCTGCTATGGAATAAACAAAAAATAATAGCTATTATTGCTGATTTATTTAAAAACGTATTGAACAGGACACCTGGGTGGCTCCACTGGTTGAACGTCTGACTTGATTTCCATTCGGGTCATGATCTCAGGGTCTGGGATCAAGCCCCGCTCAGTGTGGAGCCTCCTTGGGATTCTCTCTCCCTCTCCCTCTGTCCCACTCTGCCCCACCTCAACAGAATGTATTGAGCATTCACTCCATGCTGGGCACTCACAGACACAAGAGATACAGCAACTCATAGACACAAGGAAAAGAGGCGGAGTGCCTGGGTGGCTCAGTCAGTTAAGCGGTGGACTCTTGATTTCAGCTTAGGTCATGATCTCGGGGTCCTCAGATTGAGCCCCACCCCCGTTCAGTGGGGAGTCAGCTTGGGATTTCTCCCTCTCCCCCTCCCCCTGCTTTCTCTCTCTCTCTCAAATAAATAAATCTTTAAAAAAAAGGAAAAGAGGCTTCCTCTTACAGAGCGCAACTTCTAGTGATTTGAAGATTATATTAGGATGTTGATAATGATCTTCCAACAAAGATTCACTAGTTACTACCAATAAAAATGATCTAAAACCTGGAAATAAGTTCTGGGTATTGTCTAGCAGACACTGTGGGGGATATTCTGGTTATATAAGGGTGTGTATCTTTGATTGATTGATTGACTAGGTGATTTTGCAACTCTGAAGAGGTTAACTGATAGCAGCGTAAATGACTCTTGTCTGAGAGCAATGCAAATAATTCCTGTCCGTAAGCAATGTAAATGAATTTTGTCTGGTAAAGGTGCAATTGGTTTTTGTCTAGTGAAAAAAAAAGAATTTTTGCTATAGGATATCAGTTAGTAAATTCATTTCCAAATTCCTAGGACTAACTATAAAAAGCCCTGTTCCTCAAACTCTCCATTGAGCCAATCTTAACTAATTCATTAATTAATGGTTGAATAGTATCTCTGTCATGTGTTCATTTCATATTTTTATGAGTCATGTTCTTACCTTTTTGAAAATTATAATTTAGCAGTTTTAGATTTACTTATTTATTTTTATATTTGTTATTATTATTTAAAATTTTTTTAATTCCAGTGTAGTTAACATACAGCGTGGTATTAGTTTCAGGTGTACCATGTAGTGATTCAGCACTTTTGTACATCACCCAGTGCTCATCAACACAAGTACACTCTTCATCTCCATCACCTGTTTCATCCGTGCCCCCACCCACCTCCCCTCTGGCAACCAACAGCTTATTCTCTATAGTTAGGAGTATGTTTTTTGGTTTGTCTCCTTTTTTTCCTCTTTGTTTGTTTTGTTTCTTAAATTCCACATATGAGTGAAATCATATGGTATTTGTCTTTTTCAGACTGACTTATTTTGCTCAGCATTATACTCTCTAGCTCTGTCCACATCGCTGCAAATGGCAAGACTTCATTCTTTTCGATGACTGAGTAATATTTCATTGTATATATATACTACATCTTCCTTGTCCATTCATCTCTCAGTTATAAATTTATTAAAGTGAAGAGAGGGCTCATAATGCTAGAGAAAGGTTTAGTAAAAAAATGTAGGAAGGAAATGTATTTTGAATAGTAAACCCTCCAGAATATTTATTGATTTTTATAAATATGCTATGACTTTTTACTTTAACATTTATTACACACCTGCTACTTATCAGGTACTTTTCTAAGTTACGTACATGACTTCATTTAATTCTCATAAAATCATGTAATGTAGACATCTATTTTATAGAAGGGGATACTGGGGGTCTGAGTGATTCTGTAGTTTCATCAGTTATACAGCAGGCAGTGACTCCGGCAAGACCTGAGTCTGCAGCTCATACTAGCATGTTTTATACTGGAACATCCTAAACATTCCTGAGGCTTAATTTCCATGCCCCCTTCCCCTTCCCAACCTCTCCCATGCTTCTCCATCTCAGGAAATGGCACTTTGTTGCTCAGTTGTTCAAACTTGGGCATGATGTTTGGTTACCTCCTGGTGATCACTCCACCACCATCACATTTCTTGATTTCTGAACACCACTCAAGTCTCCCTGTTGAGTCAAGTCCCACAGAGCTAACTCCTAGTTCTGGCCCCCATCATCTCTGGCTGTGGTTAGTACAACGGTCTCCTTGCCAGCATTCCTCCTCCTATCCTCCCCTCTTTGGTCTCCACTCTGCAGCCAGAGAAAGTTTTCTGCACCACAAATCTGGCCATGTCACTCCCACTTGTCTCAGAAAAGGTCCACACTTCTTCCATGGCCCTGGGGATCCACCCCCCACCCCACCTTGCCAGCCTATGCCCCCTTGTTCCTCATCAGTCTTTCCTGTAGCACCAAAATTCCTGCTACAAGGAGTTTCTCAAGCCCTGGGAAACATCCATCCTTTCCTACCTCAGTGCCTTTGCATAAGCTGTGCCTCTGCCTGAGATGCATATTTAGAGGCAACCCTGTTCAGATGCCACTTTCTTAATTGATGAAAACCTCTTGAACAATCCTTCCAGATGGAGCTAACCTCTTCCTCTCTGGCTGCACATAGCATTCACCTCTTTTTCTCTTAAGAACCTTACCAATTTCTTCCTCAAAGTGCAATTTTTTGTACAAATGGAGAATCTTGGGAGAGATAACATGAAGGGTGGAATGAGCACAGGCTTTGGAATTAGACAAATGTAGGTTCAAAATTTAGTTACTTTTTAAATGTAGTGCTCACTGAAATGTCTTAATGAAGATAACATTACATTACCTTGTAGAATTATTGCAAAGAAAGAGTAAAAATAGCCTTAGCACAGTGCCTGGGAAACAGTAGGAGCTCAATAAATATTCACTGAGTGGGTGAGTGAATCAGTCTCAAAGAACTTCATGGCATGATTTTTTTTTTTTTTTGTGAATGGTAAGAATCATTTGCCAGAAGTCATCAAAACCCCTTTACTTTATACTTATATTTCTCATTGGATGGATGGATGGACAGAAAAGAGAGAGAGAGATAAATAGATAATAGAGCTATATAAGTAGATATAGATACAGATAGTTATATAGTCAACTTGTTTTCCAAAACTCAGTCTGACAACTGCCCCCATGTGTACCACCAGTGTGTTTCTTTAGAACCTCTGGGGGAAAAAATGGCTATAATTTCTTTCAGCACTATAATCATGGCTTTATGTCTGAAAGGCCCATTCACTGCAGGTTGGGAGTGGGGCTGAGGCAGATCTACAGTGTATGAAAAAAGAGATTGTGTAGTCTCCAGGAATTTAATAATGTCCTGCTGACATATGCCTGGATAGTCCAGGAACATTCAGGAAATGAGCATAGAAGGGCATCCGGGAGTGGGAGGGGCCTGAGGACTCAACCAGCTTTGAAGGACTCATTTTGTATCAGTTTCTGTCTTCTGGAACAGAAAAGAAGAAAAATGTAGCATGAACTCCAGAAACTGAAGTGCTGAGCCTCTGTGAGGAGTCTTGAAAACCCAGCCATAAACCCAGAACATGGTTTCCTCTAGAATTCCATAGAAATTAAGTGTCAGGGATGGGAAGGCACAGTGTCCTTTAAAATGCAACAGAAGTAGGGGCGCCTGGGTGGTTCAGTCAGTTAAGCATCTGCCTCTGGCTCAGGTCGTGATCCTGGGGCCCTGGGATCAAGCCCTGAGATGGGCTCCCTGCTCAGCGGGGAGTCTGCTTCTCCCTCTCCCTCCACCCCTCTCCCTGGCTCATGTGCATGTGTGCTCTCTTTCTCTCTCAAATAAATAAATGCAATCTTTAAAAATAATAAATAAAATGCAACAAAAGTAAACTGCACCCAGTGAATGGGGGTTGAATTTTGGAGTCATCCGTTCCTCCTTCTGCTGCCTCTGCTGACAACAGGCTCATGAAAAGAATAGCCTCTGTTTGCAAAGTGCATGGTGCCTTGCTCAATAGGTGTTCACTCGATAAAAGTTGATTGAATTAAATTATGTGGAGCTCTGTAGTTCCAAATCACTTCCACACACATTATCTTACTCAATACAAAGCCGTGGGGAATAAAGACAGTTTTAGTGCCCACAATAATTGTTATTATTCTTGCTTCCCAGTCAAGGAAGCTGAGTTCCCGAAGCCGAGTGCCAGAGACCCCCTCCCTGGTAAATGGTAGAGCTGGGATTTAATCCCAGCAGTCTGAATCTATATTTATCAAACAAAACTCTTTTTATTGAACGACACAACCTCCTTCCAAACAAGCAGGAGCAACAGATTAGCAGGCTGCCGGTACGTACTTGAGACTTGGTGGGGTCCTGGGACCAGGGCTGGCTCTTCTCCAGGGGTAAATGGCCATGCCGCAGGAAGGTCACCTGCAAGGGGTAAGAATGGCCATGCAAAAGTCAGCATGAATTGGTCTTGGGTGATACACATGACTAAGGAATAAGAGCATCTTAAGGATAAAGCGTTCTCAAAATCTATAGGGAATTGTAGCCAAGAAAGAGGGAGAACTTTATGCAAATTTAACAATACAGCAAGCCTTGTAAACTAGTTCTCCTGCTTCTTTTCCTGCTCGAACCAATGAAGTACAATGCCCAGCTTAGTCAGCCTACTGGCACCCCTGTCCCCCACTGAGCCCCAACCTCAAATCCATGTGGTATCAGGTTTGTCTTCCCAGCTGCACGGTCTTACCTTTCTGTGGATATTTCGGGGCCGGTGCCTTGGTTGGACTCGGGGTCTGTGTGCCATGGGTAGAAGTTCCTGGGATGAAATGAGGGAGGGGGGAGCCTGGGTTTTTTCTTGGGGTGCCCGATGGGGAGAAGAAGTCCCACGCCACCAGTCTTGCCCTAGTCAACCATTGGTGGTTATTAAGCCAGGTACCCGGCAGGGCGGTGAGGATGCAGAACTGAGTAAGAGATAGAACCTGCAGTGGAGGCTCGTCCAGGGTAGTGTAGGAAATGGGCAAGTCCTGGGGGTAGCTGTGATACATGGTGTCAGATGCAACTGGAAACCAGCTAATACTAGTATGAAATGACGAAATGCATGGGAGAGGCATGGCATGGCGCAGGCAGGGTGTGAGCGTGGCTGCTCCTGGGTGAAGAAAATGATGCTTTTCACTCATCTGAGTCAGTGTACACACTCACTCCATCCCCACCCTTATAAACTGTCATCTTCATGATAGAGCATGGGCTCATCTCAGCAATTCTTTTGATCACGTTCATAAAGTCCTGGTTTAAGGACCACTTCAGGACATGATCCTTTGCTGTCAGGCTCCTGGTCCCTGGCAAAACCAGCAAAGCAGCTTCCTTATAGGGGGTGAGGGAGAGGGAGATGTGACACGTCGTTTCACTTGTGTGGTGAAGTGGGAGAAAAGGGGTGAGGCTGACCTGCACGTGAGCAGAGGATGGAGGCTGGGGACAGATGACATCTTCTCTGAGACACAAGAAATATGGCGGTTAGCGAGGAGAACGGGCTTCCAGGCAGAGCAAAGAGCATAAGCAAAGCCCCAGACAAATGAATGGTAGGTGTTTGCTGTGGCTGGATGGTGGGACTCTTGGGGTTGACGTGGAGGGGTGAGGTGGAGGAGGAAGCCAGCTGCTTGTTATTTATGCTCCCCTGCTAGGGCCGTGCATGTGGCAGCGTCACATTAGACCCCGCTTCTGCTCCAAGCGGACCACTGCATTCACACCCGAGCTGGGCAACATCACACATGTACAGACAGCTATGGCCGGCATCCCTCTGCAGGGCAATCTTGCCATTTTCTTCGGGGTGGAGGGGATCGACATCTTTTTTGGATCCCTCTTCGGGCACAGGACTTAAGCCCCCTGTACACAGAAGGTGTCAGCTGATGCTTGCTACCTGGGTGTGTTTCTATGTCGTTCTAGAAACTGAGCAGCTTTAACCACAACCCAAACACAGAGTTTACTTGTCTGTGGTTGCTATTTACAGTTTAACTAAATGACTGCGTAATGACAGATGCTTAGAGCGGAAAGGGACCTAGGGCAAAAGCAGACACATGCTCTCCTCCGGTAGTGTCCTGTTTTGCCACTGCCCTTGCAAAGTGTGTCTCTGGGAGCTGGCCACCATGCTGCGCTGTGGGCACAGTGGGACGGGTTAGCAGGCGTTGCCATGGACTGAGTGTTTCCCAGGTGCTAGGTGCTGAGCGGAACACCTTATCGAAGCCACCTGATTCAATCCTCACAGCCACTCTGAAAGTAGGTATCACCTCCCCTGTTTTTGAAGATGAAAAAGCCAGGACTCGGAGAGATCAAGAGAACTGCCTGGAAAACAGTATGGAGGTTCCTCAGAAAGTTGAAAATAGAGCTACCATATGAACCAGCAATTGCACTGCTGGGTATTTACCCCAAAGATACAAATGTAGGGATCCGACGGGGTACGTGCACCCCGATGTTTATAGCGGCAATGTCCACAATAGCCAAACTGTGGAAAGAGCCGAGATGTCCATCGACAGATGAATGGATAAAGAAGATGTGGTATATATATACAATGGAATATTATGCAGCCATCAAAAGGAATGAGATCTTGCCATTTGCAATGACATGGATGGAACTGGAGGGTGTTATGCTGAGCGAAATAAGTCAATCAGAGAAAGACATGTATCATATGACCTCACTGATATGAGGAATTCTTAATCTCAGGAAACAAACTGAGGGTTGCTGGAGTGGTGGGGGTGGGAGGGATTGGGTGGCTGGGTGATAGACATCGGGGAGGGTATGTGCTATGGTGAGCACTGTGAATTGTGTAAGACTGTTGAATCACAGACCTGTTCCTCTGAAACAAATAATACATTATATGTTATAAAAAAAGAAGAAGAAGAAGAAGATAGCAGGAGGGGAAGAATGAAGGGGTGGGGAAATCGGAGGGGGAGATGAACCATGAGAGACTATGGACTCTGAGAAACAAACTGAGGGTTCTAGAGGGGAGGCTAGTGGGAGGATGGGTTAGCCTGGTGATGGGCATTAAAGAGGGCACGTTCTGCATGGGGCACTGGGTGTTATGCACAAACAATGAATCATGGAACACTACATCAAAAACTAATGATGTAATGTATGGTGATTAACATATAATAGAAAACTAAACAAAACAAAACAAAAATAAAAAACTGGGTTTTGAAAAAGTAAAAAAAGAAAGAGAGAGAGAGAGCGAGAACTGCCTAAGGACAGACAGCATCGGTGAGTCAGGATTTCAACCCTGCTGTGTCTGGAAGAAAGACCACAGCGCATAGCCTCAGGGCTGTGCTGTCTGCTGAGGTCCTGTTAGCCGAACCCAAATGTGTTAGCTCCTATTTTTCCTATGCAATCATGTGAGGTCGTTCTCTGATTACAGCTGTCAAAATTTCATTCCCAGATCTGTTGGTGCAATTGATTTTGAGCCTAAAGTTAAGACTTTGCATTTATACCCTCTGTTTCTTAAGAAATTTAGGTGGTTCAGCAAACATTTCCTGAATGCCTGCTATGTTTCATGGAACAGGAGACTAAAGACCCAGGCCCTTGAGGAGAGCATGGCCCAGAGGGAGGAAGGTCAAGTTAACGGACAATAAGTAGTCTTATGATCTACCAACTCTGGTGAGCTTGGAAGAAGGGCCTTCAGAGGCAGGTACCAGAGGAAGTGATTTTAAAAACAAATGCAATAAAACTTTTTTGTTTGATTATATGGGTAGAAAGTTCATGACAGTGGAGTGAAGAAAAATAAAATCATATCTACTTCCCAGATGTAGTCAAGGTTAATATGTTGTGAACTCCTTTTCAGTCTTACTTCGTTTTCCTTTCTATTTTCTGTGTATGTTTATTACACACACGTAAACACACATAGAAACAGAATTGGGATCACATTTGACAATTTTTTCCTTGCTTTTTATAACTCAGGCTTTCCTGATAGTACATGATTACATATTAATGTACGTATCATTTTTGTATGTAATTAACAAGTATGCTACATTTCATTGTATATACTTCGTGTATATGTAATTAATGTAATAACATTAATACATACTAATACTACACCAAAAAGGCAGTCTGGAGGAAACAGTATTGGCTCCTAGTGGTCACTTGTTTCATGGACAGTGAAAAAGAGAAAAGAAGAAATTGGAAATTTCTAGGGCGCCTGGGTGACTCAGTCAGTTAAGCATCTGCCTTCAGCTCAGGTCATGATCCCAGGGCCCTGGGATCCAGTCCCGCATCAGACTCCATCAGACTCCATATTCAGTGGGGAGCCTGCTTCTCCCTCTGCCCTCCCCCTCCTCATGCTCTCTCTCTCTGTCTCTCTCTAAAAAGTAAATAAAATCTTTAAAAAATATATTAAAAAAAAGAAATCAGAAATTTCTAAATTGGGCACATAAAAGAGAATGGGTGTGGAGATTCCTGCAAAGAGGGAGTTTTCATTCATTCATTCATTCATTCATTCATTCATTCATTCAAGGTGGGAAGAAAAGGGTTGGTGTAAAGAAAAGGAAGAGAGAGTTCACTTTATGATTATTATTTATGATGCTAACTTAGGTTTTATTACTTTTCTGTGCATTATATTTCAAAAATTTAGAAAATGTTTTAAAGACAGTGCTAAATTTAGTCTAGAAATGGGGGAGGTGGGAGCAAGCAACCTCTCTTACCTGAGGTTGGGTGGCCCTGGGAGGAGCTACTGCGTGTGACCGCTGTCCTAGCTGGAGGCCTGGACAGGCTCCTCGTGGCGGTGGCCTCTGAAGGAGATGATGGTGTGGAAGACAGTGTTTCCCAGGGAGGCCCTGCAGGTGCCCAGGGCATGGGTAGTGTGGGAGTCCACGCCTGACTGCCGGGTGTAGCCCATGGGGTCCTGGCTACCCTCCTGGTAGCTGCACATGGGACAGTAACAGGCCACTTACATTCTTGACCGTTTTGATTCGGATATAAAATCACCAAAACACTGAAATGTTATCAAAGGGCAAATGCAATGTTTACGCATAAAACAGGTAACTCAGGGACCTAAGCTCTACCTTGAACTGGAATAAATGGACCAAAGTGAACTTTATTTTCCTAACTACTAATTTTAAAAAAGAAACCTCCAAATTCCTTGGACATCCAAACAGCGGGGTCTCTCAAAGTTCAGAGCACGTTTCTCATTGCATGACCCAGTGAAAAGATTATGGGGTTTGAGGTGAGGAGACCGGGGTGGGGGGGACCTGCTCCCGCCTCCCCTCATGTTGTGACTTTAGGGGCAAGTGACTTCACTTTTTTTAGCTTTATCATTAAAACGGGGATGATCATAATGCTAACAACAATAATACAATATCACAGCGTTGTGGCAAAGACCAATCTTCCCTCACTGGTCTTTTAAACAATTCTATAGGTTCTCTCATTCATTTCCATGGTAGGCACGAAAATAATTTTTTTTCAAGTTTTTAAAACTAACCCCCTTGGAAAATTTTAAATCTATAAGTTAAGTTGGGAATGATTGCCATCTTTAAAATATTCAAATTTCTCATCCAGAATGTGGTATATCACTTTATTTAAATATGCCTTTATTACTCTCACTAAAGTTTTATTGTTTTTCTTATATAAAACGCAGCACTTTTCCTTCTAGGCTTACAGCTAAGTATTCTATGATTTTTCTTGCTACTAGCAATCACATATTTTTTTTTTTTCATATTATTCTGGGAAGCTTTCTAATTATGTGGAAGTATCACGATACCGGCTAGTGTACTAACGCCTTTCTGGTTAGTGATGTTGATTGATTTTCCTCATTCTTGTTTTCCTGCCTGCCTGACTCCCATCAGTTCTCACCTCCTCCAGGAAGCCCCCTTGCTGGGCTCTCCAGGACAATAGCTGTGTCTCCCTCCCTGGTCTTCACACTCAGGAATGAAAGGGAACGTTGAGGGAGCTGTGCTTTTAGCAGCTAGTCTGGAGTCTGGTATTAAATACATGTCTTGACAAGTGAATGAATAAGTGAATGAATGAATGAATGAATTCTATGACTCTCGCCCCTTGTCATAACTCATTGAGACAGTATTGGCTTTTAATGAAAGCGTTGTCTCCGTTGTATCTTATTTCCAAAGAGCATGAGCATGTCTTTTCATCTTCTATGACAGCACTACTGATGGTGTCCACGAAGATGGTGGGGAAGGAGGAACTTGCTGGCTGACCCACCTCGTGTGGCGGTTTTCCATGCTGGCTTCAAGTCGTTAACATACTCTTGGCAGCATTATCCAGCCAACTACAAATTCACCTAACCCTGCCATAAAATGTTGACCTCATTCCGCCACATAGTGTTCATTTCAGGAGAGACATTGCTAAATGCTTTGCTGAAATAAAAATACATCATGGTACAGTACGCTTCACTTATGTAAGACATTCTTATTGGGCGGTGCCGGGCGAAGGGAATCAGGGAGCTTTCTGTACTATTTCATGCCATGTCTTGTGAGTCTTAAACTATTTCAAAATAAAAAAGTCGTACAAATAAATGTCGGCAGGACCTTATTTCAATGATGCTCACTGCCTTTGTTTGTCTGTAACGAACTCACCCTGGCTCATGTCGATCTCTTATTTCAGGGGTGCTGAAGGAGAAAGGGGTCAGTGGAGAAGGGATAAAGGAAGGGTTTCACTTATTTATGTGAGCCTAGGGGCAACAGGAGGGAGGAACAGCCCAGGAGGAGAAAGGGTGAGAAAGCTTCTTACCCAAGGCTGGGAGGGTGGAGGGGGCACTGCCCTGCACAGCCATGGCCGTGGCCCTGGCGTGGAGCTCCAGAAGCCTGTCTGTGCTCACAGCCTGTTGTCCATCTGCAGGGTACGTTGTCTCTGTCCAGGGAGAGGTTCTAGGAGCAGGTGCCCTGGTGCTCTGAGCTCCGTGCAGGCGGCTTGTCCTCTGTAGTGTCTGCTGGCTCGTGGGTGTGGGCTTTGAAGTCACGGCTGTGCCCCAGGGAGCTGTACATTCAGGGAGACGGTCAACGGCAGCTTTTATATGCTTGACACTTTGAGCACAAAACTGTCAAGGCACTGAAAGATTGTTGGACAGCAAACGTACTGAACGCAGATTCAAATCTTACTTGGAACAATACCATATGTCACCAAAGAGGAGCGTTTCTTTTGGAATGGCAAAGGAAGCTCAAATATCAATTTCCAGAAATACTGTGCAGAGAAGCACTGTGAACAGAATGCAAAGCTGTCAGACCGCAAAGTATCAGACATTCGACATGTTTCCTGACAGAACCCGAATCCGTCCGAGTCCTTCGCCCACCTCACAGCCCTCAGCCCTTTGATGGCACTTTTTCGTAGAAGGGGGACAGGGTTTGCTCCATGTGTCCTGTGTGGGCGACTAGAGACCAGAGGCAGAATTTGGGGGCATCAGAAGCTGCTGGGCAGAAGCTGCTTGAAAGACGGGTTCCCACCGAGATAGCAGGAAGGCTCAGTTTGGAGGGAGATCTAGCCAGTGCCCTCGGATGCTCCATGAAGACAGAGAGGAAGGGGCTCAAGTGTTCATTTGAGTTTCTAACTCCCTTTGGGCAGCCTTTAGTGCTGGGTGCTGCATGTTAGGATGACAGGCTCCCAGGAGCCCATGGGTCCCTTCTTCTGGGTTAACTAAGGCCGGCCTGCAGACTGGTGGATTCCAGCCCCCACTTGCCCCTTTGGCAGGTCACTGTGCAGGGCACATCCTGTACAACAGTAAGTCGTGGTCTTGCGGCCTCATCTCTTCTCTCCTGCTTCACTTCTGGGATCAGTAATACCCACACGCACCACAGGCCTGGTGCTTGTTTCCAGATCAATTGGACATAGGGCTAAGTGCCTCCCAATCAAACCATCACTCAGCCAGGTGACTGGCTATCAAACACATCAACCTTACAAATATGTGTCCACTTGTAAACATGTTCTTTCTTCCCAAGCTTTTGTACTTCATAAAGGAGCACAGATGGGAGCTACAATTGAGACTGGTCTGGGAAGGTCATGGGAGGACTCTCTAAAGAATTGAAACTGACTCAATCCTCGGATCTGTCCTTAGAATCAAATAGGTGAAGGGAACCCACCAAATGCCCATTTCATCTTATCAAGAAGCCTCATTCGACGCAAGTAGAGGTTCCTTCCTCAGCATAACTAAGATAAACAAACATAACTGCAATAAATGCAAATCAAGGCAGCCCACTGAAGTGGAACTGGAGATTTATTGTAAATTTCATTTTACTCCAAGAAACACTGATGAAGAACCTACTCTGCACATGGTACCATGCAGACAACGGGGGAAGCGGATTGTGGGGCTGAAGGAGTTTCGGTGTCTGCCTTCAAAGACCATTCAGTGAGGAGGTACATGGCAAGTCACCTGTGTTCCAACCTGGAGTAACACCGAGTCCACATGATGGACGAGTGTCGTGTTATAGAGTGGTAGAAGACAGAAGACATATTTTGATTGGGGGATTTTTAGGAAAGAGGAGGCAGCCGCTGAGCTGGTGATTGACAGACAAACTGGGGCTCTGAAATATGGAAAAGTAGGGAAGAAGTTCTAGGCGAGCAAAATGGCACGGGCATACAGAGAGATGCCATCTGCAAGAAGAGGCAGGAGCTTCAATGTCATTTGAGCAGAAGATTCAAGGGAAGAGAGCAGATGAGGTTGGGCATGCTGACAGAGCAATGTATACTCCAGGCTAAAGGCTTTGGACCCTCTGCTCCTGTAGTGAGGAGACAAAACCCAATTGTATTTTAAGACTATTGTTCCTACAGCAATGGATTGATATTTTAAAGACCTATGAAACTGGGTCAAGGAAGACTAGTTCAGAGGCTATCTCAGGTCAAAAATAGACGACAAGGACTGGAACTAAAGTTAATCACAGCAGCAGCAGCAGCGGATAATCTTGGAGGACCAGCCAGATTCTAGAAACTTAATTCAGCTAAAACTGACAGTTAAGTGTAGGGGCGAAAGTGGGCTCAAAGGTGGTTCTAAAAATGCCACTTGTGCCAGGGAAAAGGCAAGCAGATGGGTAGGAGTGTGTGCGGAGGGGTAAAGGATGGTTGGGTAGGGGCTGGGTATTATAGGGTGACAATGTCTACAACAGGGTCACTAATTCAATTACCTACAAAAGCCAGGTAGTTAATATGAGAAAAAAGTGCCAGGAGATAGGGAGCAGAGAGGGCTATGGAAAAGAGGAGGGAGGTGTCTCTCCTAGTGGGAGGGATGGGGACAGTGCCTACTCAACTCCAGTTGAGTTACCAGATCTTCGCTTGTAAGAGAATCCAGAGATTAATTTTCTCTAATGGTGAAATCCTCTGATTTTAACACAGGGTAGCTAAATAAAACACCTGAGGGCAGCATTCGGTCTTCAGTTTGCTTAGCTGGGAGCCTGGGTTGGAGACTATAGTAGGAGTGTGAGGGGTTTACACTCACCCAGAACACCAGACATGCTGCTGGTGAATGTGTAATTGATGACAGGAGATTTCTCCGCCATCTCCCAGAAGTCAGAAAGATTCCTTCCTGCAAAAACCACACAAACAGGATCGAATCTTGGGTTCACCTGCTAGAGGGTTCTGTTTAATTCTCAGCTCAGAGAGCTTGTCAAAGAATGGCTGATGATTCACCTGACTTGCCTGTCATCACACAGATGAAGATGCAGTCGGATTCGTTCGTTTGACTCACTGTAAGACAAACCAGTACACAAAACTTAGCAATGCGCCTGAAGCTGTAGGTCTTTGGTTGAAATGAAAATCAAGCTAGAAATCCCTAGCTCAGGATGTTACAGGAAAATAAGGCTAACTCCTTCCTTTTAAGGCAGCCCTGATTTTCTGGGGGTTTTTTGGGGGTGGGTGGCGAGGGATACAGTATAATGTAATGGCGAAGGGCACAGCCTCTGGGGTCAGCTGCCAGTATTACAACATCAGCTCTGCCATTTACCAGCTATGTGGCTATGAGTGAACTGCTTGATGTCTCTAGGACTCAGTTTACCCATCTTTAAAATGGCGAACATTCGAATTCCACAGTCCCTCATTTGAGATTTCCAAATCCCGAAGTCACTGTAAGATGGAAGGTTTTGTGTGAGTTTGGTACCAAAACTTATTTGGTGGCAAACCTGACTTGAGAGATATGAGGCTATTGACCGTCTTTATCTGTTTTGTTTAGTGTAAAGGGCCATGTTGCTAAATGAATGTGAGTGTGTTTGATTACGGTATGCTGCCCTGGATGCTGCTGGTTATGTTTTATCATGTATGGTATAGATGCCCTGTTAGACCTGCAAAAGTCTGAAAATGAATGAATTTCTAAGTGTACTTGTCCCTTAAGATGCTGCCCAAAGCGGGGTTAAGCCTCCGACTCTTGGTTTTGGCTCACGTCATGATCTCAGGGTCATGAGATCGAGCTCCACATCCAGCTCTATGTTGAGCATGGAGCCTACCTGAGATTCTCTCTCTCCCTCTCCTTCTGTCCCTATCCTTCTGCTTGCACCATGCTTTCCCCCCCAAAAAAAAAAAAAATAAAAAAAAAAAAATGCTGCCAAGAGCAATGTGGACATTTCTGCTTGCACCATGCTTTCCCCCCCACACACAAAAAAAATTAAAAAAAAAATGCTGCCAAGAGCAATGTGGACATTTGCTTGCACATCCTTCAAAAGATGGTTATGATGACCCAATGAGATAATGTGTATGGTGCCTGGAAGATAGAAGAACTCAGTAAATAGTCATAATAATAATAATTATCACTATGAATGTGGTCCTGTCATTATATATATTAGCATAGTGAGCAAAAGCATGGACTTTAGAATCAGATCACCTGGGTTAGAACGCCATTTCTGCAGAATAACCTTGGGCAAGTTACTTGACCTCTCTGTGCCATGGTTTCCTTACCTGTAACATGGGGATAAATATGTAATTACTCCACAAGGTTATAGTAAGGATCCAATGAGGGAACACATGGACAGCCCCTGGATGAGTCCCCTGGCAGCTGATGGTATCTACTACTATTTCTCTTTCTCCCTTCCCTGTTTCTAATACAGTAGTTGCTCCATGGTACAACACACTGGCCTTCTGATGAGGCCATGTGTGGGCAATTGACTAGATCTGTGCTTTGCAAAGCGGGTCACTGGGGGAACTCAACTTGCTTGGGGTTAAATGAAGCCACCTTGCAAATGAGGCAGATCTTTCCCAACAGTATGTCCGACATGGGCTTGGGCTGCATATAGATCTGATAGTAAATTCTGAACTGACCATGAGCAAAATAGGCAACCTCTCCAAATCTCAGTTTCTCATCTTTAAAATGGGAGTATAGCTTTCTAATCTAGAAGAAGCTGTTTTCTTGATTCTGCCTAGTTTCCCCTAATTCTGAGCCTTGGATTCTTCCTCCAACTTTTTAGATACCAGGAATAGCTCTGATTGGAAGATGGTGCCTTCAAATAGTAGTGGTTGAAACTGGACAACACTGATTGTCTAAAAAAAAACTTACACAGAGGTTCCTGGCAGACTGCCTGTGGCAAGGCTTGGGGTGAGGGGGGGGGTCCACTAACTTTGATTATATACCCATGGTGGATGCAATTCATTTTGATTACATTTTGCAAATATTTTGATTTTGATTAAATTTTGCAAATTTGCCAAATCTCCAATTTCCCATGCATTTTCAAGATGAACACACCTGAGAGGATGGAAGTTGACTTAAAAATCTCTGTGAGGTAGCTGGTAGAATTTCCAGTGACATCCACCAGTAGGGCTGTGAAATCTGCAAGAAGGATTGAGGAGATTTAAATTTCTGATCCAGAAACTTGAGGGAAAAACGTATTGTGTATTTGGGCTTTTCAGAGTAGATTTCATACGTTTAATTTCATTCAGTGTGTTGAGGAATGTTAATGATCACACAGGGAACTATTACTAATTATAAAGATGTCTTATTTCCAGGCAGGGAGAAAACTTCTGGATCCACCATCGTAGTCTCCTTCCTCCTCCCATTGCCCTCTCCCTCCAAATTCCTCTGTGCCAACTCCAAATGGTTGTGAAAAGCCACATTACTGAATAATGGTTTTTCTCATTTGTTGTCCCCTGTTATCTCCTCTAATTGCTTTAGAATACCAAGTCCATCTGACAGGAAGCAGCCTCACAATTATGCAACCTGAATTTACATAGTTTTGGATTTTCAAAATGTGATGTCAACCTCAGTGGTGGGTTATAAAGAGACTAGAACCCTACACAAAACAGAACCAGGAACCCCTGCTCTTGTCTCCCTTGTTAGGAAGGCTAATGGGAGGAGATTGGGAGAATTTCACATTTCAGGCTATCAAATCTTTGTGAACTTTCTCTCTGAACAGAGTTTGAATAAGGGCCATTGCTTGACATGGTGGGCGCCATCAACCAATGAAAGCTCCCAATGTACCTCCAGGCAAAGAGCTGCTCCTCCTCTGCTGTTCATTCATGGTTTTCCAGGATCCAACAGGTTTTTTGCTTACAGAACAAGGATATGAATTCTAGGATCCCCAAACAGTAAGAAGAAGCTTCTGGTGTCATCTGGATAATTTCCTTTTGTGCTTTGTAAGAACACTTCTTTTACTCAATGAGATTATGAGCTTGCGTGGGGGGCAAGCTGATTTGAAAATATAGAACACAGAGGACTGAAAATGCAGAGCCCAGAGAGGCAGGAAAATGTCATGGGACAACAGATGGAATGTTCAGCATGTGAGGCCAACAGGAGGTGGACACTACTCTGTGTGAACCAGAGCCATGGTGCGATTTTATCATACTGCGTGGACACATGGTCAATCTCCAGGAGGAGAGGCGTGGTAGAACACCAATGCAGATGTGGACACCTGGCCATGCAGAAGTAACGTCAACTTGGGTGTCTTCCTTTCCATGTCTATTTAGACCAGTCTGTCCTTGGTCACACTGTGGAAACTGAGGAAGGGTAGTATTTCATTATTTCTTCCACCTATTTTCTTCCTGCTTCTCAAATGTCTTTTTTGTTCTTTAATTCATTTATCTAATAAACATTCACTGAGTGTTTGCAGGGCAACAGACACCTGCTCGGTACTGAAGGTTTGTGTGAGACACCATCTCTGCCCAGGAGAAGCTGAGATTAGTGGGAGAGAGAGAGAGACTCGTAAGCAGACCAGTAAACTGTAATCTGCTACTAACACTGCACAGAAGCCAACAGCGTGGCTCTGGAGGCAGGACACAAAGATGGAGTCCAGGTTGTGCCCAAGTTTCTGAGAGATGATGGAACTTTCCCAAGGTCCCAGAGGATGTGGCAGAGCTTGAATTTGAACTGAGGTCTACGTTGAGCCAAAGCTCCCACTCTTCCCAATGTTCCCACTGCTGCTCAAGCAACGTCTTACTCAACACACTGTGTGAACTCTCCCTTCAGAATGGCTTTTACAATCTCTCTGTGAGGCTTGGAAGAGAACCAGCTATCATTACCTCAGAGACATTCTTTGTTTTGATGAAAATTTGAATCTAATTTACTAGCAATACCTATAGATGAATGATTTCTGACTACTTTTATATATACATAGAAAATAGGGGGGAAAAGCATTTTTGCCTATCCAATTGGTAATGATTTAAGAACGTGTCATAGTATTTTGTGTTTGCAAGGGTGTGGAAAAACATGTGCTCTCAAACATTATTGGTAGAAGTGTAAACTTATGCAAGATGTCTTAGAGGAAATTTTAGCAATTTGAATCACCACAAAATTGTTTTCCTGTCAGACAATTCCATTTCAAGGACTGTATCCTACAGCATAATTAGGCAAGTACTCCAAGTACTCTAAGTACACAGGTATTCATCATAGCATTGTTTATAATTATAACAACACTGGGGATAAACTAAGTTTCCATCAAGAAGAGACAAATTAAATACATTATGGTACATTCTTTCAATGAATACTATGAATTCATATGAAGGATGAGACATATTTATATTCACTGGAATAGAATGGCTTTTAAGATGTACTGATTAGTTTAAAGGTGGATTGTCAGGCTGTATGGAAAAGGTGGTAGATATGGCTGGCTGTCTCTCAGTATCTCTTCTCCCACCTTCCTTTAGTAAGAGAACATGAAATTTTAGTTGGGCATATGGTGGTTTAACATAAAACTACATTTTTGAGCCTGTTTGCAGTTGGGTGCAGCCATATGACTAAATTCTGGGTGATAAAGTGTGAGAAGAAGCCATGTGGAAGGTTTCCAGACTGTGTTTATATAGTGAGTGGGAGTATCATCAGTTCCTTTCTCCTCTTCCATGTGGCTGGAATGCAGATGAGGTGGCAAATCATCCTGGATTATGAGAACAAGGGCAATGCATTATGGGAGGCAGAACAACAACCTAGAAGGAGCCTGGGCTCCCTAAGCCATCAAATAGAGCAGCCCTGGTCTGTTTACCAAGATGGTCACACACGAAAGCTATCACCTTCTACCCTCTGCTAGGCACCTTATTTTGGGGTCCTTTGTCATAATAGCCTGGTTTGTATTCTAATAATATAGAGACTACAGAGTAGGATGGGTAGATAGATGGGCAGATGGCTGGTGTAGGTGGGACAGTAGACAGGTCGGTTAGATAACTAGTTGAGAGATGGCTTAGGTGGGTAGATTAGAGAGGTGGCTTAGACTGCCTTGGGTGATGTGATTACCTATGGATGTTGGGATTTCAGGTATTTCTGATTTTTTTATTATACTGTCCCTGTTGTATGGCATTTTGACATTGTAATACGTTATTTTTTAAAATCAAGAAAAATTAAGCTATTTTCATTCAGAAAAAGAAAAAATATGCAAATACACCCTCACAAGGGGGGCTTTAAGTCAGAGTTGAGAATATTCAAGTGAAAATGATCCAGGTCTGAAGAGTACCCACAAAGACATCTTCCCCCAGGGACTGAGCAATGGCGAGACGCTAGCCTGCATATAGCCTCTCATGGCAATGATCTGAGGGGAGTGGACACCAGCACATTGTGATGTGTCCATTGTGAACCTCATAAAAAATTGCTGTGGCTTACCGGAGGAGCAGCATGCTATTTTATCAGTGGTAATGATCTATGGATCAATTCTTTTCAAATAATTGTTTCAAGTGTACGGAAATATGCTTTGGTTCACCGAGGGGAATTAGAAACTCTTTCCCTGCAGATGTGACTCCACTCTTTACAATCAGGGCAGGGACTCAGTGCCTACACTAAACTGGGCCCCCAGCAGGGGCTAATGAGAGGCTGAGGAAGCTGTGGTTATGGACAACATTTGTCCTCCCACATGTAATTTGTTGATAAGATTTGAAGGGCCAGTTAAACAAGATAATGGCTGTGAGGTACTTGCTGCAGGGCCTGGCACACAGTACTCATTAAACATTACTAACTACTCTCTTTAAAACGTTCACAATATTTGTTCCAGAAATTCCACTTCAAGGAATCTATCCTTTGAGAGTAATCTGGAAAAGGGGAAAAAGCTTTATGCACCAAGATGTCCAATACAGGATTTTTTTATGTTAAGAAAAACCTAGAATCCACCCAAAAGTTAACAGTATATGGCTAAGAAAATGCTGACTTTTACAGGTTATGTAGTCACTACAAATGTCTGCAGTTTGTAATATCCTGGAAAATATTTTTAAGGTTGGGTCAAGTGAGAAAAAGACCAGGAGGTTTTTCCACTTTCACGCCTTACTTCTATTACAATCTTTTTTTTTTTTTTTTTATGAAAAGCCAAAGAGATCCTCTTAAAATGTAAGTTAGATCATATTACTCTGTGTGGACAATCACCTTGGCTTCCTTCTCATTCAATGTGAAAATCAAAATCCTTGCTGTGGACTATAAACCTCTACTTGATCCTCAACACCCTCCCTGCTTTGCCCTCCCAGCTCTGAGCTCATTTCCCATGACCATCTGCCCTGGCTCGCCTGCTCCAGCCATGCTGGCCTCTCTCATCCTTACCCTGCTGCCTGGGCTTTTGTCTGGAACACTCTGTCCCTGGGTACCACAGGGCTGTCTCTCCACTTCCTGCCTCATTAGAGCAGACTTCCCTGACCACCACTATATACAGCAGCTGTGCCCGCCACACTTCCCTCTTCACCCTTTCCCCTGCTTTATTGTTCTCATGGTCATGTTAGTAGCCAACATACCATGCATTTTTTGACTCTCTGTCCCTTCCTATAGAATCTAGCCCAAGAGAGCAGAGTGTGTGTATCCACTTTGCCCAGTGTGGTACCCCCACACCTAGAGGAGAGTCTGGCTAATGGTATGTGCTCGATTAAGAACCACTGAATGGGTGGATTAGTGGTGAGATATTAACTTTCAGTTTTACTTTTCAGGATTTTCTAAACAGAAGGAACATCAAACAATTTTAATTTTTAACTATAAAAGTAATACAAGAGTATCCTAGCATTGAAAGAAAGATCCAGGGATACCTTCGTGTACTGCAAAGCACGCATCATGATCTTCTTTCAGAGGTTAACACCTACACGTGTCCAGAGATGTATCTCTTCACCAGCGACAGTGTATTCTACACATTATTTTGTAACTCTGCTTTCCTAATTAAAAATGGCATGGAAATGTTTCCAGACATGGGCCAAATCTGGCCACATCCATTCATTTATGCATGGCCTATGGCTGTTTCCCAAAGTATAGACTATTTAACCATTTTCCTAATGATGGGTATTTACCTTGTTCTCAGAGTTTTCTGTTAAAATAACGCTGCATGAACATTTTGTTCTTGCCCCTTTGTTCAGATGTAACTATTTCTCTAGGATATAAACCAAGAAAAGAACTCTCTGTGACAGTGAATGTATACACAGCTAAGCATAATAGATACCAGTGTCTTTTCTTATTTCACTCTAAGGAGAAAAAAAATCGAGTCAAACTTATCTGAAAGGGGACAAGCAAAATCAGGAAGGCCGCAAGCCTGACGGGTAGCTCCACCTACCTGATAAGTCATTGGTCCTGTTGTTCAGGCAGTAGCAGTACCGGGTAGGGAATCTGGTGGCGTCCACAGTCTTCAGGTTGGAAACTGTGAAGAGACACGACCCACAGGGCGGTCGTGACACTGAGCCTGGCCCTGCCGGCCCATCCCTCATCATCATCACCACCAAGAAGAGCCCGGCAGCACTTACTATTGTAAATGGTCACAGAAAACTTGTGGAAGGCAAAGGAGCTGTAGGAAGTGATGCTCAGCAAGGAGAAGAACTTGGTATCTGCCAAGGGTATTAAAATAAAAGAAGCTGTCAGACAAATGCCTCCCGACAATCATAATACCATCAATTAGTAAACAGATAATAGAAATTAAAAATATAATGAACAGATGATAAAAGTAAATAACAAAAATAAATAATAAAATAACACACATTGGAAATAATACATAAAATCACATAAAAGCAAGCCAAAAACTGCATACGAACATGTACCTTGACTCTATTTCCTGATCTGTCCCTAAGCCCTGACAATTCTCCCACAGTGTACTTGTGAACCGAAATGCCTGCACATAGGTCATGTCTGGAATGCAGCTTGCTCTCCAGATGCTGATGAGCCTCTAACTTCTTTTGGATATTTTCAGTCTCATCAGGTGTCAGGCAGGGCACTGCATTCTCCATCTGAACATGGAGAAGCTGGGGCGCAGAGGTGTGCCCTGTCTTGCCCATGTTGCAGAAGTGAAGCAGGTAGAAGGCAGAAGTGGGCCTGGGTTGTGCTTTTTACAAACTGAGGGTTGCTGGAGGGGACGTGGGAGGGGGGATGGAGTAACTGGGTGATGGGCATTAAGGAGGGGCACGTGATATGATGAGCACTGGGTGTTATACACAACTGATAATTTATTGAACATTACACCTGAAACTAATGACGTACTATCAGTTGGCTAGTTGAATTTAAATTAAAAAAAAAAAAGGTACCTTTTAAAGCTCTATTCAGCATTCCGTTCACCAGCTCTGTCAGGTTCAGGGCAGACAGATCGACCGACCTTGCAGGCAGATCTGGAAGAGATTCGCAGATAATGTCACTGGCAGGCTTTTCTCACAACGGAAGTTCCCTGTTTCTGACATTCAGGCAGACTTGCTTCCTCTTTGGACATTTACTGAACTCATACCCACAGCTGGGCACAAGGAATTCAAAGATAAAAGGCAGTGCCCCCGCTCAGGAGGTGACAGCCGATGGCATACATCATGAAAAGTTAGATAAGAGAAGTCCACGTGAAGGACAGGAACACTTACTTTGTGAATAATTTATCTCTGCATTTGGAGACAGTAGGGATGGGTGGGAACTGCTCACGGACAATGGGAAGCCCAAGGAAATGGCACGAGTTCTCAACAGCACCGCATTTGGAAATGACAACATTATCTAACAGACAATGCCCTCACTGGGCACTGGCATCCCTAGGAAAACGTTTTTTTAAAATTCTGCAGTTCTGATGCTTGGGCTCCATTCTCACAGATTCAGGTTGAATACGTCTGGGATGTGGCCCAGACATCCCCACCAAAATCAATCAACCAATTGATCACTCTCCCAGCTGAGTGGAGAGACCCTGCGAGGTTAAAACCCCCCATCTCCCAGCTACTCCCTGAGCATCCAGCACAGCAGTTGACAAGGTAGAAGTAGTGGTTAATGTTCCTCTTTATATTTTTACTAACATGGTCTTTTTCAAAGCTTACTTAACACTCAGAGAGTTCTGTGGATCACACAATCTGAAGACTGGGGAGGTGCTACACCGGCTTGTGGGGACTGAGAGTGGGATCCGGAGGAGTGGGGGAGCTCCTTTGGCAGCTGGGGCCACCCACAGGGCCCTAGAGGAGGAGGGGACTCACCTGTGGTGTCCAGAAAGGCCACCCCTTTTTCCTTCCTCTCTTCTCCAAGGCCAGGAGCTGGGGAGAGAAAAGGCTTCAGGGGAGACACAGGAACCTGCAACCCCAGCCTCAAGTTGCTGGAGGGGGTCTCTACGAAGTGGCCTTGTGCTAGTGAAGGTCAGAATCACCGGGCCTATGAAAAGGAAGACTCCTCTCCTGACACTGTAGTCTCCTTGGACTGACCTTGGCCTAGAAATCGACATTTTTTTTTTAAAGATTTTATTTATTTATTTGACAGAGAGAGACACAGTGAGAGAGGGAACACAAGCGGGGGGAGCGGGAGAGGGAGAAGCAGGCTTCCCGCAGAGCAGGGAGCCCGATGCGGGGCTCGATCCCAGGACCCTGAGATCATGACCTGAGCCGAAGGCAGGCGCTTAACGACTGAGCCACCCAGGCGCCCCTAGAAATCGACATTTTAATAAACAGGCAGGTTTAGATCACCAGGCAGGGTGTCTAATCTATCCCATCCCTTTACTGGATCAGGAAACCGAGACTCAGAGTGGACAAGAAACTTGCCTGAACAACAGAGCCCAGAACCTGCTTCCTAAAACCTGCAGAGCAGTGGCCTTTCGGAAATAGCAGGTCACCTGCTTCTTCAGTGGGGTTCGTGCTATCAGTGAAAATGTCATGGGAAATCTTGAAATGCCTAAAGCATACATTCCGTCTTTACTCATTCAACAAACACTCACTGAGGGCCGAGCAATCATGCTGGGTGTTGGGTCTAAAGAGGTCGAAGGAAAGGGGCAAGTCTCTACCTCTGTGGGGCTAACGGTCTGTGCCTCAGGCGGGGGACTCGCACGTGTAGCTGCACATGAGGAGTGGCAGACAGGGCACGGCAGGATGCTTGAGCTCCTCTGTCAGGGCGCCCGGGGCCTGGTCTGGGGGGGAGGGGAGGGCCTCCCAGCAGAGGTGACAGAAAGCTCAGCTGTTTTGGACTAGGTGGCATTATGAGCATCCTGCATTTGTTGCTATTCTTGTTGCCATGGTTCTGTTTCCTGTTACATTCCAGGGGACCAGGTGTCCATTTGACAGATGGAAAAACCAAGGCAGGGACAGGTCGAAAAATGTGTCCCAGAGTTCCAGGGCAAGTCAGGAGTCAAGGCTGGCCTAGTTACCTGTCACACGGAGGACAGGAGCCTCTTTTTCCTTTTTAACGTCTCTGTTTCCAGACTGTGAAATAAAAGTTCTCATGAATGAAATAGGATCGTGAAAGCACAGCCTCACAATCTGTAATATCCTTCCAAGTTACCTTGTCCAGCCTTCCCTTAGAAGGGTGAGGAAATTAAGGCCCAGGAAAGCGAAGTGATGTACCTACATCCTGTATCTAGCTGGTGGCCCTGTTTCCCCTCCCCGAGTCCCTGGTAACCACCTTTCTACTCTCTGCTTCTAAGAGTTTGACTATTTTGGATAGTTCCTAGAAGTGGTGTCATGTAGTATTCATTCTTCTGTGGCTGGTTTGTTGCACTTAGCTTAATGTCCTCCAGCTCCATCCATGCCTGGTGTATGGCAAGATTATCTTCTTTTTTTTTTTTAAGATTTTATTTATTTATTTTGTCAGAGAGAGAGAGAGAGCACAAGCAGGGGGAGCAGCAAGCAGAGGGAGAAGCAGGTTCCCCACCGAGCAGGGAGCCTGATGCGGGACTCAATCCCAGGACCCTGAGATCATGACCTGAGCTGAAGGCAGACACTTAACCCACTGAGCCACCCAGGTGTCCCGATTATCTTCCTTTTTAAGGCTGAATGGTATTTCATAATATGTACATACCACATTTTCTTTATCCATTCATCTGTGGATGGATGTTTAGGGTGTTCCCGGCTTTTCAAGCACCTTGTGGAACTTCGACCCAGTTAAATTCTGTCTGCTTAAGCCAGTTTGACCTTTCAGCAGGTACACTTCTTGATTAAATACCGGAGCTTTGGGGTCAGAGGTAGGTGGGGTCTGTGGTTCTCCTTCCTGACACATGGCTCCTGGAGGAGGTGGGTTATGTGACCACAGCAGGAACTCTGAGACAGACGTTTGCCATCAGGCAGGCCCAAAGCTGGCATCCAGCCTGCTCTTCCATCTGGTGCTCTGAATGGCCCTCCACCTGAACGGTCTACATGATGCATCCCCAAGTGACATTTGTGGCGGACGCCAACTTTGCCTGTGACCTGGCCAGGAAGGAGAGACCTCCGTGCAGGTGAGGGATCGGGGTCATGTGGCCTCCTGAGCTCCAGGCTACAGGGGTGCTCTAGGCTACGAGGCTTGCAGGATTCCTGCACCTGTGAAACCAGGTTGGTGGGCCCTGTGCAATCTTTCTAACCAAGAACTATCTTTGGACACCGCTCCTTCCACCAAGGAAACATCATTTCCACCAGAGTTTTTTATAATTGCCAACCTGTGGGTGGATTTTGCTAACCATATTTGAAGTGTGAACTGAACAGCCCTGAAGCAGAAATTTCTGAATGGGATGCCATACAGAAGCAGTTTTCAAATAAATTGCCAGACGGAGAATATAAAACTATTGGTCTCTTTTTGTATAAAAAGACCACCATAGTGGTATCTTTAAGATAGAAGGTGTTGCTACTTTTCATACTTTTTCATGCTTACTATTTTAATCACCTTTCATCCTTTATGATTACCTGTGGAACAGAAATTTTTCCCATTTAAAGAGGAGGAAAAAGGCTCAAATAGGGGAAATATTGATTGAATATTGATTGAAAATTACACTGCTTAGAGACGCCTGGGTGGCTCAGTCAGTTAAGTGTCTGCCTTCCTCTCGGGTCGTGATCCTGGGGTCCTGAGATCCAGTCCCAGATCGGGCTTCTTGCTCTGCGGGGAGCCTGCTTCTCCCTCTGCCTTTGCCTCTCTCTCTCATGAATAGATAAATAAAATCTATTTTTTAAAAAAAGAAAATTACACTGCTTATACACAAGAAATTGGTACAACTATTGTCCTCTGGGGAAGGGAAGAGGTTGGCTGGGGACCATTTTAACCTTATACACTTTTGTACCTTTTGCATTTTGAACCGCATGAGTATACTAATTAAAAATAGATAAAAATTAGGGGTGCCCGGGTGGCTCAGTTGGTTGAGCATACAACTCCTGATTTCAGCTCAGGTCATGATCTTGGGGGTGTGAGATCGAACCCTGTGTTGGGCTTCAAGTCGGGCTCTGTGCTGGTCTTGGAGCCTGCTAAAGATTCTCTTTCTCTCTCCCTCTGCTCTCCCCACTGCTCACGCTCTCACGTGCTCCCTCTATTAAAAAATATTTAAAAATGAAGGGTAATCTCCCCAACCCACCCCCCATTATCCTGCTTGTTTACCAACAAGTTAGGAAAAGGAACTAGGCCCCTGCATCCTATGTGTTCCTTATGTTACCATGCATTCACTGTCTTGCTGTATAGCCAATTTCATAACATCAAAAAGTAAAAAGAAAAGACAAAGAAAGATGAAATTATTGCAAAGGTGATGATATAGCACATGACAATACCACCCATTATGAAATCTTCCATGGTTCATAGAATATCATGATCTTTGTGGATTTAATAAGATCGTGAGAATCCAGGTGTGCCATGAACCATAAAGCAAGAGCAACTCCCAGGAACTATTCCTATGACAGAGCTTGAGGTATAGACGCAACATTAACAGAAGGAAGGGAAAAATGAAGGGGGGGAAATCGGAGGGAGAAATGAACCATGAGAGACTGTGGACTCTGAGAAACAAACTGAGGGTTTTAGAGGGGAGGGGGGTAGGGGGATGGGTTAGCCCGGTGATGGGTATTAAGGAGGGCACGTACTGCTTGGAGCACTGGGTGTTATACGATAACAATGAATCATGGATCACTACATCAAAAACAAATGATGTATTGTATGGTTACTAACATAACATAATAAAATAAAAGAAAGTAAAAAAAAGAAAAAATGAGACCGAGAAAAGCCAGAGTTTGTCCAAGACAGAATGAGCTGGGCAGGAGCACCTGCCCCTTTACCTGTTGTGGGAAGGAAGGTCATGACCTTTTCCTTCCTGGCTTCTCCTTTAACAGCAGACACTAGAATAAGAGAGCATTCATCAGAGAATTATAACCCAAATTTGACATCATAAAATATTTCAAAATACTCATTTTAAAGATGAGAAAATTATGATCTGAAATGGTGACATGTCTTGCTTAAAATCCCACCTGTAGTTTCTCATTCAATTTAGTCACTGAATATTTATTGATCAACTATAACAACACTAATGACTGACAGTGTTGTTTGGTAGCTGGACTTTAATATGCATGAGTGTGTTAGGTGCTGGGGATACTATGATGAACAAGTGGGCATAGATTCCACCCTTATGGAGCTTACAGTCTGGTCAGGAAGGCAGACATGAAGGAAAAGAAGACTCAGGATATTATTGCAAACGATGTTGAATACTTTGAAGGGCACTTTGAGGGTGTGTAACAGGGAGCCTGATTCATCTCAGTGGTCTGAAAGCTTTCTGGGAGGTGATGTGTGGCTGAAATCTGGAGCATGAACAGTATTTGAATAGGATGTAACTGGCTGAGGGGGTATTCAGAGTGTAGATAAAAGTGTGTGCCCAGGGGCTGAGGTGGGCACAATTATTACTTTAAAGAACTGAGCAAAGGCCAACAGTGATACAGCACAAAGAATCGAGGAGGCAGGGTATGGTAGGAACTGGTGATGGCAAAGTGGACAGGGTCTTGTATAGCATGTGAAGGACTTGGGATACTATCCAAAGAGAAGTAGGAAGTCACTGCTTAATTTGGGGTAGGTGGAATGAGGGAGAAGCCTGGGAGGTTACCTACTGAGATGTATGAAAAGATCCCCCAGGCTAGTGAGGGGCGAATAGGTCATGGAGAGGCAAGAGGAGAAGCAGTTTCTGATTTTGAAAACTCTCTTAGTGGCCCAGAAAAGAGAAGACAGAGATTTGGACAAGAGTTGTAACAGTGGATGTGAATATAATTCTGTTGCAGAAATGAGACTCAAGTTCACAAAGTCAGAGGATAAAACCAGAAATGGGGAATTCATCATTTCCATTTTGATCAAAGTCATTTAGGATTCTGGCCTGAGACATTGGCTGCTGCCATTCTCCAAAGCCCAGTGAAAACCCAAACTCATCATATAGAACAGGCACTTTTTGAAATCTGAGTGGACCCACCTGTGTTCCAAAGGGACAGGACACACGTAAGACCCACGCATAGCCTCACTGGAGGACAGGGTACCAAGAAGCCTGGCATGTCTGTGAAACTCTGGCCCACCTGGAAGGAAGCAAGCAAGCCCTTGGAAGAAACAGGTTGGATTACTAGGCACATTGATGCAGAATATCCTTGAGTCATTAGAAATACAATATGTAGAAGGCTTTCAATAGTTAGGATAGGTTAGGTCATGCTGAGGTAACAAATTAATTCCATCATCTCATTGGCTTAATTCAACAACAGAAGTTGATTTCTTGTTTATATCAATACTTGCTGCAAATTGGTGGGGAACTCTGCTCCACACAGTCACTCAGGGACCAGATTAATGGAGCTTCACTGCCTTGTAGTTCTCTGTCTTGTCCCTGTGGGCTCCTTAGTCATTGGTTCATTATGGTTGTCGAAGGGACAGAGCTGGAGGATTATGCACCAACTCATACGCTCTGGCAGGAAGTGCCATGCTCACTTTTATTTATAGCCCATACCAGAATTACTCCCATGGCTCTGCATAACTGCAGAAATCTGAGAATCTGGGAGGGGGATGCATGCATAGTCACAAACAATCAGTGTCTCTTCCATGGGTTTTCTGGCTGTTTAGCTGGGAAATACCCTCTAAATACAGCATCACTGCTGCTTATCAATGGCTAACAGACATATGAAAAAATGTTCATCATCATTAGCCATCAGGGAAATTCAAATCAAAACCACATTGAGATACCACCTTACACCAGTTAGAATGGCAAAGATGGACAGGGAAAGAAACAACAAATGTTGGAGAGGTTGTGGAGAAAGGGGAACCCTCTTACACTGCTGGTGGGAATGCAAGTTGGTACAGCCACTTTGGAAAACAGTGTGGAGGTTCCTCAAAAATTTAAAAATAGAGAGTTACCCTATGACCCAGCAATTGCACTCCTGGGTATTTACCCCAAAGACACAGATACAGTGAAAAGAAGGGCCATATGCACCCCAATGTTCATAGCAGCAATGTCTGCAATAGCCAAACTGTGGAAAGAGCCGAGATGCCCTTCAACAGATGAATGGATAAAGATGATGTGGTCCATATATACAATGGAATATTACTCAGCCATCAGAAAGGATGACTACCCAACTTTTACATCAACATGGATGGGACTGGAGGAGATTGTGCTAAGTGAAGTAAGTCAAGCGGAGAAAGTCAATGATCATATGGTTTCACTTATTTGTGGAACATAAGGAATAGCATGGAGGACGTTAGGAGAAGGAAGGGAAAAATGAAGGGAGGGAAATGAGAGGGGGAGATGAACCATGAGAGACTATGGACTCTGAGAAACAAACAGGGTTTTAGAGGGGAGGGGGGTGGGGGGATGGGTTAGCCCGGTGATGGGTATTAAGGAGGGCACGTACTGCATGGAGCAGTGGATGTTATACGAAAACAATGGATCGTGGATCACCACATCAAAAACTAATGATGTATTGTATGGTGACTAACATAATAAAATTAAATATAGATAGATAGATAGATAGATAGATAGATAGATAGATAGATAGGAAAATAATATACGAATGCATGGGAGTGTTCACATTCCTTCCTTGTCTGCAGCGCTGTGTGCCAGGCATTTGCTATACAGAATCAGCATGATAGTTCAAGCTGCAAAGCTGAGACTAATAATAATAATGGTGAAAAGTTATTGAGTGCTTTCTGTGTACCAGACACCACACAGAATGCTGCCCAATGCAAGTGAGGTTATCACTTAGTAATTACAATATCTGCATGCGTAGATATTCATGTAATGCCCATTTAATATATGGACCACACAGACTTGCTTTGAAGAGAGCAGAAATTTGCCATTGGTAGAGAATGGAATAGACCTTGGAGAGAAGGAGAAAAGTCAAGAGAAAGTGCCCTAGGGTTGGGAAAATGTCCCAGGAACTGAGCATCTTCGTAGCAAAATGTATTTGAAGAAGTTCTGCTGTCCGTTCAGGATTGAACCACCTTTGGAATTTTCTTGAAATATCCTAGTAAACATTTAAATTGCTTTTGAATTATGGGTAGATACTAGAATGGCATTTCTTTTAGATGCCACCCTGGACAGAGAGAGTCCTTACCAGGGGGCAAGAGACTAGGGCTTTCTGGTAGTCCTCTTACTCTCATAAATATGTTTACTCTCTGAATCTGCTTTCCTCATCTGCAAAATGGAGATAAGAAACCTAGCTCACTGGGTCTTTGTGAGGATTTAAGCTAATGAGTCCAAAGCATTTTACCCAGTGTCAGACACATAGTAGGTGTTCAATACATATACCAGTCATTGTGTGCTGGCTGGTGACACAGGGACATATCAGACATGCCCCTTTCCTCAAGCTGATCTATAACTTAGAGGAGATGGACACACGAGCAATTAATTCACACTCAAGGCCAACTGAGCTATATTCTCTATAGAGAGATTTACAATGGGGATGAGAGAGGGAGAGAGAGACAGAGAGACAGGCTGCTGAGTCCAGGACTTAGCACACTCTCCAGCAAAGGGGTACGGGGGTGAGGTGGGCAGGTGAAATGGCAAACTACACGAGGATTCTTTCCTCTGGCACCTCAACTGCTATGGAAACATCACCTCACCTTTCTGAGCCTTGTGTGTAAAATAGACAGAGTCATAGCCACCTTGAAGATATTTCATGAAGATTAAATGAGATCAAGAAATATGTCCCTTAGAGCAATCTCTGGACTAGGGTAGATACTTAGGAATCTTAATTCCTTTTTCTCTTGTCTTTTTCTCTTTTCTCTTCCTCCCCCTTCCCCTCCTCCATCTCCATCCTGGGGCCCCACATCATAGCAGAGGTGTGAACAGGTACAAATATATAGTTGAAAAATAATTATCTGTATCTATATAATGGATACATTTCCCATTTTTGACTCCTGCTTCACTGTGTTAACCACTGTCTTCCATTTACGACGAATAAACACGCTAACATTTATTACCTTAAGAATGCATTTTTTATTGATTTTTTTTTTTTCTTGGAGAAAAATGCCTTTTTCCTTCTGTCTGGTTTTTTATTTTTGACCATTGGCCAAAACTGGCTCAATCAGCTCAATCAGCTGAATCAGCTCAATTGGCTCAATAAGCTATGTGTTTGGAGTGGGGTTTCCAAATCAAGCAAATGAAAATACAGGACACCTAGTTACATTTGAATTCGAGATAAACAATGAATAATTTTTTTCATATATCTCAGGTGGTATTTGGAACTACCCTAGTTTGGGAAGTGGGAGAGTTTTATTAAAGAGAACTTGCTTTTACCGCAGGCTGGATGTGGCACTGAGACAGTATTGCTCTGGGAGGTCTCTGCTGCACTAAACAGAATTTGTGGATTGAACACGTGAGCTGAGAGCTGTGAGTGTCACACCCTCTAGCCTTCGGTTAGCTCTCTCTCCTTGTTCTAGCATTTCCACATTGCTGCTTTTAGCCCCGTTGGACCCCAGAAAGAGCAATGAGAAGATGGAGAGGGATGTAGGCCGCATACAGTGGTTCGTGGGGCCGGGGAGCCTCCGTCCACCCCGCAGCTTACACAAGCAGAACTGGCTGGATTTTGCCTTTCAGCCAAACTAAGGAGGTCAGGCCTCTCTCGATGCCCCCCGGGGAAGCTAGGCCACCATGGGCCACTGTAGGGCAGGGGGAGGGGCTGTGGTTAGGTCAGAGACACTTGATTTTAATCTTGAGTTGGCCATTGACTGGTGCTGTCTGGATTAAGGCACTTGACCTTCATTCACTCAAAAGCAGTTGTGGAGTGCAGGGCATTACCAGCCCGACCCTGGGGCCCGACTGGCTGAGTTTGCTTCCTGGCCCTGCCTTTCACTAGCTGTGCAAGTCACTGAGCCTCTCTGTGCCTCAGTTTCTACCCAACACTATCCTGAGGACTAAAACATGTTATTTGTAAAACATAGTAAACAGTGTCTGCCACAGAACAAGTGCCATGTATATGTTTAACCAGTAAAAGTTGTGGTACTTAAAAGACATTGGCACTCCAGTAGCAAGCAAGACAGACTGGATTCCTCATTCCCACAGAAATAGAGTCCTTAAAGTTATAGCTTACAAAGACTGGACAAGATGTCCAAAAATTTACCCTCAAACTAAGTTATCATTTCAGTGCATTCCCCATGGCTCTTATTGGATAATTATTCATGAATCATTGTTTTCTTCAGTGACACTGGCAGAAAAGCTAGTTGTATGACAATTTGACAACAATACTAATGTGCTGACAAGGATCAGAATATGCTGCCCCCGAATATGCCACCAAAGGCCAATGAGAATGAACAGATGCAGAAACAAGCCTTCCCAGAGCCTCTCTTATCTGATTAAGACAAGAATTTTTTTTTAAGATTTTATTTATTTATTTGAGAGAGAAAGAGAGTGAGGAATGCTCAAGCAGAGGGAGCAGGAGAGGGAGAGGGAGAAGCAGGCTCCCCGCTGAGCAGGGTGCCCTACATGGGGCTCGATCCCAGGACCCTGAGATCATGACCTGAGCTGAAGGCAGATGCTTAACCGCCTGAGCCACCCAGGTGCCCCAAGACCAGAAACTTCTGACAATGAGGACTGTTATAAATCCCCTCTCCCTGGAAAGTCACACCAGGATGGGCCTGCACACACAAACCCTATCTTACACCAAAATAATCCCTATCTTCCATTTGTTTCCCCAGATCTTTACCTTCCCACAATTTAGGACCCTGGGAGCTCAAAACCCCTTTCCTCTCCTTGTCACTTCCCCACAAATTTATCATCCTTCTGTTAAAATGATAGGTAAGCCTCAGGGCCTGACCAGATCTTTTCATTTCATTTCTGGGAGGCCCACCATATGCATATGACATAAACCTTTTCTCTTGTTAATATGTCATTTGTCAGTTCAATTTGCATGGCCCCAGTCCATGAACCTAAAAGGGTAGAGAAAACATTTGTTTCCTCTCCAACAGTGTAACTTATGGAACCTCAATTCTGGGGCATCATGTCTGGTATTTTACCTTCTCAAGCATTTCTTGGGAAAGACAAAGATATTCCCATCATATGAGAGCAGGACCCAGG